CCGGCAGCGCCCGTCCGGGGCCGGCAGCGCCCGTCCGGGGCAGCAGCGCCCGTCCGGGGCCGGCAGCGCCCGTCCGGACCGGCAGAGCCCGTCCGGGGCCGGCAGCGCCCGTCCGGACCCGGCAGCGCCCGTCCGGGGCCGGCAGAGCCCGTCCGGACCGGCAGAGCCCGTCCGGGGCCGGCAGCGCCCGTCCGGGGCCGGCAGCGCCCGTCCGGGGCAGCAGCGCCCGTCCGGGGCGCCGCGGGGCCGGGAGGCGCCGCGGGGCAGGTGCGGGGATCCCGCAGCCCCGGTCCCGGTGCGCACTGAGCCAGGGATCCGCCCTCCCGAGCGGTTTGGCATCCCGGGCTCCCCCCGGGAGCTGCGTCCCGGGTCGTGCGGGTTTGGTTGTGGTTTTATATTGAGGAATATGGGCTTACGACTCTTCCAGTCCGAATAATTTCTGTGGCAACTCGGAAAGCTGTAACGGTGTGCTGTCTCTGGCTAATGACCCCTTGGACCGTCTTGTTCTATAGGCAGAGAACGAGAGGTAAAAAGAATTGTGCCGGCTACCTGACTTGGAGTATTATGTTTGGTAAACACCGGCCACAAGTGCTTTCTGTTTGGTGGAAGCAAAGATCTCATCCTGTTCTCAATAGAACAGTATATATTGGAAATAGATACAGGGAAAGCTTTTTCAGGACAGTAAGTTACCCATAATTCTGGTAGTAGAAATGTGCCAGTATGCAATTTATAATAGATCCTGTGATTATTCTTGCAGAAAGGTTAAGAGCTTGCAACTGATGCTTTAGGAAATGGAAGATGTATCAGATGGTTTTGAAGTTGCTACATCAGAAGGGTCAGGTGCAGAGCAATCACCTGCATCCTCACAAGGAAAAGCAGTCGGAGAGGCTGGGGACCCAGCAGAGAAGGCTCTGCTCCCAGAACCTGCAGGCACTGCACAGTCAGAGGAGGGCTGGGACCAGCAATCTCCTTCTCAAAATTCAGTACTACCAGACAATACAGCAAATGGGACAGAGACAGGTAAAGAAGTTGTTAAAATGCTGGGCATTAATGTTTTAAAGAGATAATTTTTCTTCAATTTGGTTATAGCTTTTTGCACCCCCACACACCCTCATTCTGTTTATGCTTGCTGGGATTTGGTCCTGCAGTAACTTTTAAAATTCTCATATGAAACATACTCCAAAGGTAAGGAATGTATTCTTTATCTCAAACTGTAGTAGTCCTTTCTAGATGGCATTTTATAGAATGATCCTTATTTCCAGAAATGTGTATGAGTAGGTATACATATTTTGTATGTGCATTTAAATTAACACTTTAGGCAACATTATAGAAATCACCTTACCATTTTACCTTTCTTAGATTCCCCTGTAACTTACCTACCACCCTTCCTTATCTGTGTCTTTCTCCTGCAGTCTCCCAAATGCTCCATCATTTCCTATACCTGTTCCTTCGTGTTCTGGGTGTCTCCAGTCACTTCCTCTTCCCAATATAGGACCCCATTTTCTTAGTTCTTCAGAGCAGAACGGAGCATATCCTGTTCAGCATCTGAGCATAGTGAATAACAGTTCCTAGTATGGACTTGCTGATGACTTTCCTCATTGCTGGGTTCCATTCATCTGCTCTCATTCTGATTAGCTGGCTAGGAATATCTTTATGTGGTGACAATATTATATTAGATACTGCCTTTAAAATTGAATGATAATACTATTTCATCTTGCAAGTAGACTGTCTTTTAGCTGAAAAAAGATGATTATGCTGTGTTGTACTGTTACAATAAAATCATCCTGGGGTAAAGTTGAAAGAGTTATTTGTTTTGAGAAGCTTCTCAGGAATTTTGGTTTTATTTTTAGCAAGCATGATTGAGGATAATGAAATGCCTAGGAAGATTAGGCCTAATTCTGATGAAACTGTCCAGTCTGAGAATCAGGAACATTTCCCTGGAGAAGTCATTCAACAGGATTACCACATGCCTGATGTCCTAACTGTCAGAGTGCAAACAGGTAAATGCTGCTTTTGCAGGTTTATTGATACTTATGTAATTATGGCCTAATCTAGATGTGTTACTGAAAGAAGCAGTATTTCTATTTTGGAACTTCCATTTTAACAGGTTCGAATTCATTTCAAGAAGTAGTTGTAAAAGTTGAAAGACCTACCTATAATAAACCTTTTCTGGGTGGATTTAGGAACGTGTCAACAGGAGTGGAATTTCATAATGCAGGATCACAAACAAAACCCAAAAAACGACCTGACAAAGGAATTCAGTTATTTTGTAGGGAAACACAGGTAAACACTTTGTTATATCCTTTTAGAATGTTGTTTTTGCCAGATGGAATAGAATCTGACACTATTTCTGATAGGAAAGAGGAAGTAAATCTGAGATAAATGTGCAAATGAAAGTATTTAGTAGATAAATATCATTATTATTGTGATTTTTATTGCAAAGAGCTAATTTTGCCACTTAATGTAATGTGAAAAAAATATCTCTGTGTATTTTCTTCTAATCTGACATGCATTTTTTCCCCAGACGGTTGTGGAAAAAAATATGCAACAACAAACAAGAAATACAACATCGACACAGATGACTAAAACTGGCCTTTATGTATCAAACATGACTGACAAACTACTAACTCCTGGAAAGTATTTTACAGCAGAGGAGTACCATAAACGTAGACTTGAAGCAGTAAGTCCTTATCTGTTGGAAACTCTCTGTAAAATAATGTATTGTAAAGGTTATCTGAATATTTAATGAGTGTTCAGAGTGTTCAGAGACAGAATTTAAAAGTGAACTGTAAAATGTCTTCTTATGCTCATCTTTTGTAATCTTTTAGATACAGGGGAAGTGCGTGTTTTCTCTGTGATTTTAGTGACATTTGATACTTTGCAATCTCTTAAATATTAAGAATTCTGAAATTACTGTTTTTATCTCACAGTGACAGTTAAGTTTCCATGTAGAGCATTAAGGATTAAAACAGGCTTGTTCTTAGAACATTCTCATGATCTCTTTGAAAGAACCTAAGTTACATGCTTAATGTATGGCCTGAAATAAATGGAGTATTGGGTTAGGATTTAGGAGATCTGCAATTAAGCTTTTGAGTTTTGAGAACAATCCATTGTTTGAGAACAATCTATTTGAGAACAATCTATTGTTCCTTGTCTGTTTGGTTGGGTTTTTCTGTATCAGACTTAGTAGGTTACCTTGGGCAAACTGATCTGTTTTGGATTTTGTTCAAGGTCCTTCCTTTGGTACTAAAGTAGAAATGGGTTGTTAAAACACAGGCAGTGGGTCTATGGGGTTTTCTGGTGCACTGAGTTGCCTCATAAAGGCAATTCAGATTACAGATTCTGCATATTCATTGTGCAGAAGATGCCATTTAGGCATTCCACTCTACTTTTTGAAAACCATGTGTTCTGTGACTGCGCATTTGACTCAAATTGTGCCCTAAATTGTGTTAGATGAGGCACTGCTTTGTTAATGCTCTTGTTATTAATTTGATTGCTGAAAATAGACAGTCTGAATCCAACTGAATGGAGAAACAGTTGATTCCTCAAGTGTCTAAGTAGAATAATTGTATTGACATGGTTGGCAAGATCTTTGAAATTTTCTGGGTAGAGTTTTTCTTGTAAGAACTTAAATCGGTCAGCTTAGCTGATTGCAAATGAGCATCTTGTAGAAGTGAAATCCAAGTAGGGCGTAATTTCCTCAGGACTACCAGTATGTTTTACTGTGGTCTTTAGTGACATTAGTTGAAGTCTGTAATGTATCTATAGGTAATTTACAATGCACGGTAGAGAGATGTCATCCTGGTGTTGGTTCACATTGATGGATTTGCACAGTGCAGTATAGGTCCATATTGAAAAACTGTTTGAAGACAAATTTAAGAGAAGTTTTAGATTAAGATTTTATCAGAGATAGTGTATTAGTATGATTTTGTGCTTGATAGCTTTTAATCCTCAACAATGCTTGGTGCCTCATGGCATTGATCTGACTGAACTGTTTGTAGTGCAAGTGATTGTGAAGTATCCTCCCTTAACATATCATAGACATTTCCCCAGTCCTCAATAGCCACAGCTTGGAAAGGTCAATGATTTAATTTTCTTCTTTCGTTTTCTGTCATAACAGCTTTAGTAATTCCACTTTCATTATTTGTTCACAAATAAAATGCAGTTGATTTTGAATCTATGTGTTGATTTTTGTAATTAGAAATTACCAAGAAATTTTGCAAATGCATTTCCACTCTGTAAATTGATAGTAAGATAAGGAAAATAATAAAGAGTACATGGCGAAAGGCATTTTTAAGGGGAGATTTGAAAAAGAAAAAAATATATTTGAATGTAGTTTATATTTTGTCTGATTATTTGAACCTATTTTATCCACTGTACTCACTGGTTAAATTCCTGCAGTTACTTAACTGAGTAATCATACTAGTGCTTAAACTAATAGTACATGACTGATTTTGTAAGAAAAATCTTAGAAAACATAGGAAGCTGAAGAAAATAACAGTTAAGAAATAATACTATGCTCCAAAATAGTATGTTGTTTTGTTTTAAATTCATGATTTTTTGATATTGTATCACATATAGGTTATAGTATTACAGAAATATTTCCGTCGTTGGCATGCTGTAAATTTAGTACAAAATCTGAAGGAACAAAAGTGGCTAAGAATGGCATGGGAGGCACAAGAAGAATTACAGAAAAAAAGAGAGAAAGAAGAAAAATTGAGGAGGGAATATGAGAAAAAACTGAATCCTAAAACAAATGAAGACTTTGAGCTACTGTACCATGACTTGGAATGTAAGTTTTCTTAAAGGGATATCCTTAAAGCAACAAAATAGTACAGTTTGTTTAAAACAAACTTAGAGTTTTACATGTATTTATAGATACTTCCATGGGGTTTTTTTCTGCTTTAGAGTGGAATTTGTTTCATTTTAAAATAAGTCTTTTACTTTCATGTATTACTAGAAATAGAAAGAAGGCCTTGATGCTCTGTAAACACACTGTTCAGCAATAACTAAATATCCCTGTGTTATCAACATCCAGCTCCTTACAACCTGCTATGACTAAAATTTAACTCTATCACAGCCAAAACCAGTACATCTTTTTTAGAAATAACTGGCTTATAGAATAGTGTTCTTTGGCAGTTTTATTAACATTTTTTATTTAGGTCTAAAGTTAAGGTCACCTAGAAGAACCAAAGGGTGTTTTTTTAGATCAGAGTTGCTTTTATCTTTCACTGTACATTTATGATGCTGAAAAAATATTGGAAAGAATTTTACAACATATGACAGAAGTTATTCCTTTTGTCTTAGTTGTCCTCTACTGATGCTTTTTCTCCTTTCTACTTCATTCTTTTTCACAAAACTGTGTTGTCAAAATTTTAAAAATCTCTTAGGACTTCTGCAGGACATTCTGAAAGTCATACATTTCCTGTTCTTGGAGTAGATGATATTTAATACAGGCAAAGACCTCTAAAATTTTCAAGAAAAATAATGTGAATACTGCAGGTAACTGACATAAAACCTTGCAAGAATCTAATGGTGCAAATCAAAAAGCTTAGGGTATGTCCTTTGGAAAAGTAAAAACAGTCAAAAGCTGTGTACTTGTGCCAGCATATAATGGAACAGCAAGACAAATTTTGGTTTTTTACAATGTCTCTTTTAAAGCCAAAATTTTTTTACTGTGACTTGTAACAATTCTTATGTTATCTCAGTTACAGTGCTTTATGGTCTAGCTCTTTGCCAGTTTGGGTGGTGTTGTCCCTGTAGCAGAACTGACCTAATAGATTTCCTACTTCATTGCAAAGCCACCTGTGTTTAAACAATCTTAGCTTTTTCTTCAGTGGTAAACTGAGCATAAATTTGATGGCATGTGTTATTCATAGAGCTCAGGATCACGATTTCAAAATTCCCAAGTTATACACTAATCTTTTAATACTGTCATACTTTGTATGGCATTGAACAAATGGCTTTGTCTGAATTAATAAATGATTTATAAATATCACTGTTCGTGACAAATGTAAAAATTATTGCTTGTCTTGAACTTTGCAGTTGTTGGAATGGTATCTTCATGAGATTTGTGGTCGGTTTGGGGTTGTCTACCCCCCCCTCTTTTTCTTTGTAGATAGTTTGCTTTTCACTTCCCAAGAATCAAGCCCTTTTTAAGTTGTATCTGACTAAGTAATCAAAAGCCAAGGTACTCAAATAGTACTTTTTTCCTTACCACTTATGAGATGTCTTACTATTCCCCATCTGATTTTCTGTAATATTTTATTCAGGAAGGTGCTTCAGACTAGTGTGCTATCAGGTGTATCAGGTGTATCTATCAGATATATGATCCACTTTTTTTTTTTTTTTTTTAAGTGTGAAAGGTCTTACTTGCAGTAGAAACAACCAAGTTCAGATTATGTTATGGAAGAATGCTATCTTCATGATATTTTTAGATTTGAAAGTTATGGTTATGCAAGCGTCTCTTGCTTAATTTCATGACTTTGAAATAATAATAATAATTCACAAATAATAACTTTCAGCCAAGCATGTTCAGGAATTTCATATCTAGGCAATCTGGAAAAAAACATGTGCCACTTTAGAACAGATTCCAGTATTTGAAATGGTTTTCTAAATATTTTGTTAAAAATAATGGTTGGTAACTATCTCACTCTTTAGTTTTCATTAACTGGTGTTGACTAGTGACTAGTTGCTTCTCTAGTTGCAGTCATGCTCTTCATTTTAATAGAGCTTAAGGATTCTAGGAAGTTGGGGTTCTTTTCCTACCTGCATCTGGAACAATTTTGCATTCTTATAATGCCAACAATTTACACAAGCTAAATCATTGTGACAGTAATAGAATGAGACTATTGTCCTCCAGGGATCTGTGAAGGTTATTGCTGCAATCACAACAGAGTTACTATTACAGGGTCAGCCAGTAATAGCAATTCCCAGTGGTACAAAAACTTGCCTGTTGACTATATAGTGCAAATGAGGTGTATCTGTATATGCAGCATGTCTGCATAGGCATTTATAATTTATTTGAAAAGTAAAGTATGAACTATTTTACTTTATAAACACTGGAATAAAAATTGTAATGAGTAAAATCTCTGTAGATAGATAATCTGGAGAACATATAATCTAAGAGGAGTGTTTTAACTTGGTTGCACGTAAATGGGGAATCAAGAGATGAGTATCAATGGTGACATGTTCTTCATTTCTAAAAGTATAAAATTGTTTACTGTATTTATTAGCTCCACCTTAGAAGTTGCTGCCCCCTTCAGGCATAATAAAGGTTCATGTAAATTAATTCCATATAACAGTGTTGTTTGCTGAATTGACTTTATTTAAAATATATATTTGGGTTCTCAGAACTTGCCAGACAGCTGTCATATTACAGCTTGGAGAGCCTTAAGGAAATGAATTGAAATACTTAAAAATGGAAAACATAAGGTACTGTTGATAAGAAGCCACAGGCAGAAAGTCAGCCTTCCTCCTTTCCCTTCTCCTGCCTTTAATCTTACCTGATCCAGGATTTTACAGACTTTTTCAGTGCACCACTTATGCAGTGGTTTTCTTTTATGCTGGGTTTTGCTTTCGCATAACTGCTCTGGGATGATTACAACACTTTGAGGTATTCTTCAGGAATGTTGAAGTTCTGGATCTTATAAAATTCCCTACAAAACTCCAGAGGTATTTGAACTAGATCAGACTCTTCAGAGAAGCCAGGAATTGTTACGGGATATGCAAAGGCAGTAAACACAGTTTGATTTTACAAGCAGATTTGTCTAAAGCTATGTAGTCTGTATATCTGAGCAAAAGTGTCAGGGGGTCAGATTCTTATAGAGCATGTAGTGATCCATGTGCTGCTGTCATGACCATCCTGTGGCTTCTTCTGTGGCCACTTTCACCCACTTGGTTAGTTAGGTTGTAGAAAAGGAAAGGGAGAGTAAAGCAATGACTGTCAGGTTATTAATGTGTTCTCATCTGCGTTGGATGGCAAAAGGTAATACCACTGCAATGTTCAATGTAAGACCTGAAGTGGTAAGTGTTACTGTCAGTTAAGATTTATCTCAGTTTTGGAGGACTTCAAACTTCTTTAGATTTTACTCATTTATGCAGGGAGAAGTAGTAATATTCTCAGCACTGAGTACTAGTGGTACCACAGTAAGTTGCAGCCATTTCATCATACATTTCCACAGGAGCTAAATTCTTTTTCTCACATACAGATTCTTTTTCTCCTACTCATCCTTGAGTTTGGAGTACAAATTGGCAGTCTGGAATTGATGCACACACACATACTCTCACAGAACATCTGTATAATTTACATTAATTTCTAGACCATCTTGAATGTATCGAAAATAGCTATAACCATCAGTTCCCTGAAATGGAAACTGGTTTTTAGTGCATATTGAAAAAAAAGTCAATTATGTTGTTTCTTAAATATGAAAGCAAAAGTTTTGCTGGAAAGCATCTTGTAAAAAAATACCCCAAATATTTGTATCTGCAGTATGGATGCAGGAGGAGACTGAGCGAATTAACAGAACTCTTACTGGAGCTAAAAGAAAGGCAGCACTTTGTGCACTTCTGGACGAAGAGACAGAGCTCATTGCTTGCATTGGGATGCACAAACTAAATGCCAATGTGGAGAATCAAAAAAACGCAATACTGCACTTTCTGGATAAGGTCAGTAATTAGGCTGATAATAAAGAATACCAAAGTACAGGAACAGAAAATACACCTGCAAAGTACGAAAAGTACCTTTTGTAGTTTTTAACAGTTAATCATGTGAATGTTAATATTATAAATATCCAAGTTATGTGGTTGTTGATGTCAATACAATTCAATAAGTTTCTGTCAGACCAACTGAAGGTTGAACCATGCATCGTTAAGGCTGTTAATGATAAAAACTATAAACAATGCATATAATTAATTATAATAATATAAATATGTTATCCTTCAGGAGGTAAAGTTGTCATTAATTTCCCAAGTGAGTATAGGCCTCTGGTCATCATATGTCTGTCTTTTAAAAAAGCATTTATTCTGTTTTCGTATAAAAAGAAGAGTTTGAATCTGATGTTGAACTCAGTTATTAAATCACTGACTTTAGTTCCATTACAATTTTAAATTGAGATTTCATTCTTGTATAATCTTGGGGATAATATTTAAGGAAAGTGTTCCTTCAGTCTTTATCAAAAAGTGTGAGAATTCCTTCATTCACAAAGATGATTTTAAATGGCATTAAATTAAATGGTATCTTAATGTAAAATACAGAAAATCTTGTCCTTTTAGGTAGATGTCCAGCCATTAGCAAAAAGTAATAGTTTATTTTCAAAGTATGTGACCTGATTATGAAAAGAAATACTGCAACAGAAATGTTTTTTAGCTATTTTTTTATTATTATTACTTTAAAAATTTAACTATTTAGTGCTCAAAAGTAAAAGCGGCAGTTTTGCACAAAAGACACCTTTTTTCATCCTTTTTATTACTGATGCAGGGTAACTGTTTTGATTATGAAAAAGTTGCTTATCTGAAATATTAGTGGAACTGTTACCACATTTATTGCTGTGGTATGACTGTTTTTTCTCTTACTGCTTTCAAGAATGAAAAAAAACACCAGAAAACCAAATAATGAGGAATATTTTCAGAGGCTTGAATAATTTCTATGTTTAATGTTTGCTTCTACTATTTACAATGCGTTCTGTTACCTTCTAAGAAAAAAAAGCCTGGAACAGTTAAAGCAAATATATTTCTCTCTTAACTGACTCTGTAATTATTTTTCCCATAAGGACTGATTTCCAGTGTCCTACTTGTACAGATTGCTTCCAGCACATATTCTAACAAGCTGTACAGTTTTCTTGCATCTAGAATCAGAAGCAAAATGTTCTTCAGCACAAGAGCTCTCAGTGATAGCTGATGTTTGGAGAATCAGGAGACACATTAGAGACAACAGATATATTGTCTTTCCAAGCAGTGGGCATTTTCCTGAAGTAATTACTAATAATTTATATATTCCTATATTAAATGTATAAATTATGTTTTTCATGAAAGAGACTGTAATCTTTTTAGTTTTAAAATCTATTGAGCTTCTGAACTAGAGCAACTTTTCATGTTTTTTTATCATGTCAGCTGTAGGATTTTGAATGTTGTTTCAAACTGTTGACATAGCTCTAACTCAGAGGGAGAAGAAATAACAATTTTTGCATTTGTTTAAAAAGATAATTTTGTAAATCTCAAAATTCAATGGATGGTTTGCTATGACAGTAACAGTGCAATTTAAGCACTTTGAATTGCAGTATGAAATTTATTTTTGAGTGCCTGATTAACGATTATTTCATTTTTTCTTGAACTTCAAATTGGTAATGTAAATTTGGACACTTGCCAGTTAAAGCTGCAGTAATATCTTTCACATCTGAAGACTGCAAGCTGCAGTAGCCAATGTGGTATGACACTTGCTTCTCCATGGAAACCTTTGTTCCCTTCTTTGCTACTTTAAGCATGTACCTCCACAGGCATGTGTGCCCTTACAAAGGTTGTGTGTACCCTGTGTTCTAGGGAGATCTTTATGCTGAGCTCATTCTTCAGCATTTGTACTTTGGAGAGGAAGAATTTGACTAAGCTTTTATACAGCGATCATATTGACTTAATGAAATTTGTGTAACTATTAACTGTCATTCATTTCATACCTTTCATGCTTTGCACTATTTCTGCACACATCCTATGGATTTTTTTTTTTTAATTACCTTTTCCTCTCTCTCTGTGGTGGTGTGTTTCTCTCCTCAGGCGCTTTTTCTGCTTTCATGCATTGGCAGCAGAGTGTAGTTGTAGTAACCTTGCTTTCTGAAGTAATACAGATAACAGGATTATTGTAAATTCCACAGCACTGCCAGCAAACTAAAAGACAAGACAAAGCTGGCAGAAGATCTCAGAGTTTTAGTTTTTCTCCCGTCAGTCTGGAGTACAGAAAAATAGTCCTGAAATCAGAGAACTTGTGATTCTTTCTATTTTCAGTAAAAAGCTGCATATTTTTTTTACATTTAAAATTTGTTTTATGTACCCAGCTATGATAAGCTAGTAAGAAAAATACAGAAGTTACAGATTTATTTTTGAAGAATTAATTACAATAACAGAATTGGTCTGTATTAAGGGTCATTTGCAGAACAGGATACCAAGACTACTTGCGCATATTGGGTTTGCAAATTATCAGAAAAATCTAATTTTACTGACTTTCTTAGGGTCTACTCTGACCATTAATTCTTTCTAGCATTAGCAAATGACCTTTTTCTGTTATTGTAAGTGATTTCCTTGAAGAAGATAAAAAGTAGGTATTGAATTAACTACTACATGGAAAACAGTGGTTTGTCCCAGTCTAACATAAAAAGGATTGTCAGCATGATAGACCCTCTAAGTTGGTCTGAATTTTATTGTTTGCAAAGTGTGGGTTTGTTAGGGTTTTTTCGTTTGTTTGTTTTTTGTTTTTTTTTTTTTTTAAGGGGTATTTTTTGGAATTTCTAGTATTATATAAAGATAATGAAACAAAATGAAAATATAGTAGAATGCTCCCTATTTATGGTAGACAAAAAATTACCTTTCTCTAGTTTTGCAGAAATTCAAAGATTTCACCAAGTAATTAAGAGTTGATTGTTTTGGTTTTTTTGTTTGTTTGTTTGTTTTTTAGCTAATGCTTTGCTATTGCATTTCTTAGTTTTGTCTCTGTAATTTCTTAATTTTGGCTCTGGTTAACAATATCTCCTTTAAATAGAGTTCTACCCACACTGATAATGTAATTAAGTGTCATTAATTTGATGTTAAATCCTGTGTAAGATTGTCTTTCTTTTCCTTACCTAACTTTATTTATTTAAAAGTGAGGAAAACTTTTGATCATGGTGATAACTAATCATATCTCTTCTAGCTATCTAATATTCTTGGTATTTTTATAACTTAGCACCATAGCAAATCTATTTTATTAAAATAATAATTGTGTTAATGCTGGTGTCATGTCCAGAAAACTGCTAGGCATATGAATACTGCATAAAGTGTTCCTGTTTTTAGGTGACACTGAGACTGCAAGGTGAAGTTTATGAGTGTTAGTGAACACTTAAGTTCCAAATTTAGTGAAAAAGAATAATTAATACACAGAAAGAGGTTTCAAATACCTCTCCCCATTAAGTAAATGAAATGTTAAGTAATGATGGGGGAGAGGCTTTTGAAACCTCCCTTTCTATTGGAATTGGATACCTGTCTCCTTATGTAACAGCGTGATTTGCAACCAAAACCAGTCTTCTGGAAAGAAGAAAATGGTTGTACTTTTTAGACCTTGTGAGCCAGGTGACATGTAACTTCTTACTGTCTATAAAAGTTAAAGATGTGCAAAGAGATAATTGAAGCATAAGGCATATGGCATGTGGTTAAGTTAGCAAACAAAAGCTAGGTGAAGTGCCTGGTAAACTGTAAACACCTTGCCCTAACTCTAGCAGACCGTATTCCTTCTGTCCTTCTCTGCAACTAGTATAAATAGAACAGTTCCCTGGAGATATTTTTTACTGCAGTAGACTTAAAGGTCTTAAATTTTCAATTTTTATACAGTCAACAGACCTATTGATTTTTACTGATAGTTTGAAGGGATTTATGTCTGCAAAGTGAAATACAGAGCAAATGTATTCTAACAATACTGTCAGTAAATTTCACTTTAAAGAAGTAGAGCATATCCCTGTAGGAGAATATTATTTGCTTTTAATGTCCTGTAAGTTGAATTTGTCATGACCTGCAGCTTTAAATAAAGTGTCCAACCGAATGCTTGCTTTGGTGGAAGAGGTGCTGTATCAATATTGACAATAGAATTAGACTTTTGCATTAGTCAAGCATTAATGTTAAGTTCCTATTTGCTCTGATGAAACTTGATGTAACATAATGCCATTGTTAAGCTGATGATCAGATTTTAATAGCTCAGAGTTCTACAAATTGTTTCTAAAGTGTGCACAGCCTAGGAGGTGGAAAGCATTTGATGGAAAAATCACTGAAATGGATACACCGAACTCACTCCGTGGTAAAGAACTACTTGAAATCTACCGCAGCATTAACACAAGGGACATCCCAAAAGATGAGAGAACATCTGTGCTGTTAACACTCAAATGGACAGTGAAGGTGAGGTTTAGTTTTCAATTTATGTTTAGCTTGAAGCTGTACTTTCCAAAGGTCCTGCCACTTAATTATGTCGACACATTAGCAATGCTGCTGCTGGCAGACAAGTGCTGTGATGGTGAGCTGGTAGCTAGAGACCCTCAGGTACTATCTGGTATGTGAGTGTAATTTACATTCCAGATACACTCTAAATTCATATTTTACTTTATCATGTGTATATTTGTCTTCAGGTTGTGTTAAGAGTTTTAACCCCATGGTTTTAGATGTCTTTGTATATTAATACATAATACAATTTTAGTACAAAATTTTGTTTACTACTTAATATCAACCTTATGAGAACTGTGGCAGGCATATATGTGGCAATTGCCATTTATTTTTTTTTTCTCAGTTCTTTGAAATATCTGTTTAGAACCTTATCTATCTATAGGTCTGGATTACCAGTTTTATGGGTAGCAATTACTGATTTTTTTCATCTTCTCTTTGCCCTTCACTCCCCACCACCACTGTTGCTGTTGCTGCTAGTGTTCCCAATGAATTAGAAGATTGTTGCATTTTTTTTAGTCTTTCATATTGGTTTTATTTATTTATTTATTCATGTACAAGAAGAATGAGTTTCTAGGACCTTTCAGGATGACACTGATGACATCTGCCTAGAATAGAATGCTACTTGCTGATCTTATTAAAACAAAGAAGCACCTTGCTGTTTGTTTTAGTAGTGCCAGTATTTGATTTAAAGTCACTATGGCATTGAGAGCACTTCTGGTTTATGAACTCTTGCCCATCTTAGCACAAGTCAATATTGCTGTAGTGAACAAGTGAATTTCTGTAAATTAGCACTCTCTTTAACCTGAGAAATCACTGAACTCATTCACCTCTTATGTCTCTCTCCCTGGAGAATCTCCTGCCAAGCATTCAAAATATTGAAGTGACTCATTTCCAGGCATGCTGTCAAAGTCCCCCATGCCTCTTGTGTGGTGGATTTTTTGGATTTTCTTGTGATATTTTTTAAAACCCATCCATATTACACCTCTGATCTCATACAAAGGAGGCTTCTTAGAGAAATATTTCTTTGGACGTTTGAAGATTTAAAAATTTGCACTTGTTGTGTACCTCTGCTAAGCATCTTTTAGTGCTTCCAGGCTTACAGATCCTCACAGTTTTGGTACACAGTTTAAAACAGAATCTATAAGCATTCTCATTTTTGTAGTTCTACAGTTGTTTCATTGGAGATTTTTTTTCCCTGAGATACTAACAAGTTCTTCTGTGAACATGTTCCTACATGAACATAGAGAGGTATGAATGGTAATGTTGACAGATTCCATAGTTTGCTTTCATGTCTTATTGAATTATTTTGTTTGTTTGTGTATTTATTGTTGAGCAGTTTATTTTCCTTTTTCTCTCCATTTTTTTTTCCAGGAACATGAATGTAAATTAACACAGGAAATAGTGGCATTAATTGACAGGGAAATTGATCTTATGTCAAGAGAGGTGAAAGAATGCAACTTGGAAGGACTGAGGAAAAGAATTTGTACATTATTTCTCCAGTACATCAAAACTCCAGAGTTTAACCCTCAGGTTGCTGGGTTAATTAAGGTATTATTCTTATTTTGCAGCCTGACGTAGTGGTCACTGAAAAAAGAGAAGATGGATAGAAAATATTGAAAGCGTTTTTATTTTACGTTTTGCTGTAGAATTGGTGGAGGAGTTCCTCAAGAAGTAAGATGCTTCAAGTCCATAGGTTTCACACAAATTAATTTTTATAGTCCTGTTAGGAAGCATGGGGCATAGACATGGTCATAAGCACCTGAAAAGTGGCTGGCAGCACTGAGAGAGCCCAGGAACTCTTGACTCTGAAATAAAAAATCTGGAAGTTATAAATGGTAGATCTTATGGGATGGCATCAGTAAAATGTAATAGCAAAGTAATACCAATATACTGAGAGAGGAAGTCATGGTTTTTTCTACTGGTCAAGAGGCAGCAATGCTGTGCATCCAGAAAGGAAGAACATAGCCCATGTCAATGTCTAGTGAGCTTGCACCTAAACAAAAACTGTCACAGGCTTCTGTTGCAGAATCAGTTGCTACTGTGTGCAAAGAAGATGTAGTTAGTTTTGTGTGACTGCTTTTCTATTCTGATTACAGATTACAAATAAAAATATAATTCACTGTCATATGTTGCTGCTCTAAGTAGCCATGTCTGTTTTGCATCTATCAGAAGAGCATTCTTCATACAGTGGTCAATGTTATCTCAGGAGTACAGAATCTGTCAGATTTGGATGCAGATGTCAGATTTAGAACCAACTAACAGTTAATTTTATACTATGTTTATTAGGAGAATTACCATAGCAGAGACTGAAGATTATCAGACTACTCAAACTATCCAACTGCAGACTTGGCCTGTCTGCACAGACTACATTACATTCTTTTCAGAACCCATGATGGAATATGGGGATGAGGAGTTTGCTATTAAGTTAGTCTATTTTCTTTCCCTGTGTTGTTTCTGGACATGTGGGTCTGATGATTTTGTATTCTTATGCCAAAATAATAATATGTCCATAATCTCAGGGTTTTGTCTTTGCCATAAAGGGAAGATTCTGCATGAAAAATCAAATGCAGATAATTTAGTTTCTGATTTCTCTGTGTTGTCATCCTTCCAGAATAACTGAAAATCTGCATACATTAAAGCACCAGGAAGAGCACTGGAACATAATTTTTTAGGATTTTCATAGAGCTTAAAAATGAATTGACTGATTTATATAACTGATTTTAGCAAATGCAGTAAGAAAACACAGTGACTCTTGTTATCCTATCCAAGAAAAGTCACAATACTTTATTGGGCATTTTAAAATAAATACTTCTAGCTTTTATGTATTAAAATACTTGCATGAAGGTATGGAAGACATATCCTGATAGTGTTTGAGTAACATACAAGTAATAAAAATTAACTTAAATTAGTTTAACATAAATGAACCTTTTTTTTTTTTTTTTTAGGTTCCGCAAGATCCCTTAAAGCTTTATAAAAATGTTTACTTCTGTCATAGCTGTGAAAAGTACTTAGCACCTACTGAGTTTCCCCTTCCTGCAAATTCCCGCACCATTGGCAGATGTCGCTCATGTTACCGGCTTGATAATGAGGCTCGGAAACGAGAAGCATATTTCAAGTACAGACTTATACTAGAAGATCTCAGGAAGTCTGAAGTTGATTATCAGGATGATAGCAAAATTGTTTTCTTAGTTCAGGTACTGTTGGAAAGAGCATTGCAACTCAGTGGCTTTGACTATATGTTCTTTATTTTGTGTATGTTGTGGACAGGTTGAGAAATAGGCTACAAGCTGCAGTTTCTTCCTGGGATATGCGACGTTCCACACCATCAGGAAGAAACCCTTAAGCTCTTGAAGCATAGGTCTTCTTTAAAAGGTGGTTTGCAAGCTATACACTAAAAGAAGTCTAGCTGACAGGTCAAGGATCAGATGTTCCAACAACTATGCAAAAAGTATATATGTATGTCAAGATGCTCTTTAACCAAGTGATCATATGACATGTGCATAAAAATTATTTTTCACCCAAAGCTTTATTTGGATTTTTACATGGGTGCAAGACTTGTAGAATGAAACATGCTCCTTTCTTTTAAACCCTGTTTTCTATTTCAGCTTCCAGATATGCAGTACCTGATTGAGAAAATATGGAACTGCCAGTCAGCTCTCAGTGCCTGCAGTGACCTGTATAATTTGGTTATGGTCAGGTGGGATAAGCAGCATGAGTGGTCTCCCTGGAACACTATTCTCCTCACTAAAGAAGAGGCAGATGCACATCTTAAGCTGTGTAACCTTCAGAAGGTAAATTTCAATGGGCTTTTCTTTTTTTTTGCATTATTTATGTTTTAATAGAATCCTGTGACTAATTATGTTGGGTCAAATTTGGTCATTACACTTGTCCGTCTTTAAATTGGCTCATTGTGACTATTTAAATGATTGTATCTATACTATTAAACAAAATAGACAGTAATCCATGAGGCATCTGGCATGTACAGCTCATTCCATGTACCTGACCTCTATCTTGCCCCAATTCTCCCTCCTGAAATGCAAGGAATGCCCCTACAGTCTTCACCTTGCAAATGCTGCTATCTAAGCATTGCCTTATTTAATTTTCAAATAGAAGTAAAGATGTTCTCACCTGAAATAAAGAAATAAAAAAGTTTTATCTTGAATGGAGTAAAAAAGTTATTCTGGTTTTAAAACATGTCTAATATGTCACAAGGAGAAATTTTCTCTACTGGGCCATAAGATAGTACTATTGAACTACAAAATATTTCATTTTATATATACACAAATAAATGATCTGCCTTCTTTTATAAAATGCTCACTCTTCATAATGTATAAAATATGTCCAAATATTTATAATGTCTAAAATATTAAGCAACACATATATTTTTAGTTATTTTAATTGTATTTATGGTATTTAAATTTATTTTTCTTTTCAGACTTATGAAGCTCCATTTATTTACAGAATAGAACAAAAGCATATCCGGGCAAAAAACTACTTTGCTCAGATTCCTGCGATGTCATCATTTTTGCATAGAAGTAACAATCAGTCGAATGCAAATTCCTACAAAAAACATAGTTCTTCAACATTAAAGAACTGAACTAAATTCCTAGATTTTAAAGAAATATACTTTTTCATCAATACCCTAATTGTATTACACGGATCAAAATAAATTTCTAAGGATAAAATAATTTGATCTCAATCAGTTAATTTAACTGCATTTCAAGTTTTGTAACCTCATTAAAAAAAAATAAAATGTTAAAGAGCTTTGTAAATTCTCAGGTTTTAGAGCAATGATTATTTTTCTGTGTATTCCTGCATTGCTTGGAACATCTGTCTGCAGTTTAATGTTCCTGTTAGAATTCTGTGTCACCCTTTAATTAGAAAATTAATGCTATAACACTGTATTAAATTTATTTTTCTTATATTAAACACATAAGGCAGAAACCCCCTCAAACCCTGGATTCTTACAGAACAATAGAATATACATAGCTTACCCAGATGTAGCTGCTTTGCCTGCAAACATTTGTCAAAAGAACAACTTTACATTTCGTAGCTCATCTAGATGGTCATAGTGGAACTGCCAGCATATAATTATTGTATCGGATGTTGAAATTATTGTAAGTATTATAATTTAAATATCATAATTTGAAATATGCATTTCAGATATTTGAAATATGTTTATTTTTGAGGAGTTTGTATTATTTGAAGAAGTAAATTCTCCCCATAATTAAGAAAGTTTATATTAGATCATAGTTACAGAGAAAACATGATAGGGTGTAAATTCAAAAATCCAACAGAAGGTTGCAAGGTTCTTCTTGAAACCTCTATTTTAAGATGTGGCTTTAACCCAGCCTTTTGCTCTAACAGATGAAACTACCTAGGAAAAAGCAGTAGCATTTACAAAGAGAAATAAGTACATATTTGACAGCAAACAGCTGAAAACTAAATTGACTCCCTTAACAGAACATGAACTGTAGAACTGGTACCTGGCTGATAAGTGCATTTTAACATTGTTGGAATCTTTCCACTGATTTTACCATTAAATTCAGAATTTTAATTTAATTAAGTTCTGGATTGTAGTTCAGTACTGAACTAATTGTAGAATTGCAGCACATGAGCATTCCAGCTGATGACTTACATTCTTTCTGACATCTGAGCCTTAAGATAGGAATGGTTGCTAAGTCTGAATTTCCCCCAGAGTGATAAAAGGCGTTTTGAAGTAAATTATGGGTTGAATAGCAATGAGTTGCATAGATAGGAATCTGCCTCTTTATAATTTTTTCCTTCCTTCTTAAACATATTTTTGAAAAGGTAATTTACAAGTCCAGAAGGATTATTTAAATAAAAAGTAAGGAAATAGTTCAAACAAATGTGAAAAGCCAATAGTCCATTGATTTCAGTGCAATGCAGTGTTGGAGGTTTCTGGAACCCTAGAGTCATTTAGGTTGTGAGGACCTTTAAGATCAAGTCCAACTATTAACCTGATACTGCCAAGTCCACCATTAAACTCTGTCTCTAATTTCTACATCTACATAGCTTTTAAATACCTCCAAGTGTGGTGACTCCATGACTCCTCTGGCAGCTTCTTCCACAGCTTCACTACCCTTTCAGTGGAGAATTTTTTCCTATTATCCAACATAAATCTCTTCTGGTGCAACTTGAGGCCATCTTCTCTTGTCTCTCTAGATTCTTCACTAGCTTCACTGCCCTTCTCTGGACATGGTCCAGCACCTCAATCTCTTTCTTCACCCTTAAACAACAGATCTCTCATCCAGATCATTGGTAAAGACATGAATCAGTACTGGCCCCAGTACTGAGCCCTGGGGAGCACCACTGGTGACTGTGTGCCAGATCGATGTGAACTCCATTCACCACCACCATGAGTTCTTTCCTAGCAGTGCCCTTTAGTCACATTGTGGACACTTTTGTGTAAATAGTTAAAAAATTGCTCTGGAAGTATAGTGAGTTGAATGCTTGACTAATATTTGGAACATGCTTTTCCAAAGCATGCAAAATAAGCATCTTCTAACTAATGTCATCCTTCAAATCAGTGTCCAAAAAACCACCATTTTTAGGAGTGAAGAAAAAAGGAGAAAATATATGCAGATATATTTTGGAGCTAAATTTACTTAGTGAAGCAAATTGAAATCCCACTCAATAGGCTCTTCTTATTACTTTTTTTTTTTTTTTCCAAAGCTTTTATAACTTCAGTTGTTCCCAAACTGTGGTTTGTGGCAAAATATTAAAAAGGAAAAGTCAGTTTGTTTTCAGTTAAAAGTTTGTTCATAAGTGATACGGTAATCTGAGAGAAAACAATCTGGTTATGTTTCAAAAAGTTTTAAGACTGTTTCTGTAAGGCAGAATACAGGGTATTCCCACCAACTGTGCATCTCACTTGTGTGTGTTGGAAGCTCACAGCAGTGAAGAGAAGGCAAAGCTCCGGATGTGATGTACTCCAGGAGGAGTCTGTGCTTTGTGCTGCTACAGCCATGGGGAGGAACGGGAAGTGAGGGTAGAGACCATGTGGTTGTGTTCCACTTGTTGCCCAGAAATGTTTTGTACAAACCAAACATCTCCTACAGGAAATATTCCATACATTGCAACTGCACAGAGTGGAAGGTTTGACCACAGTCCCACCGACAGCGCTTTGCACAATAGTGGTTAATAAGGTATAAAATGTATCTCAATTTTGTATCTTAATGGAGGATGAGAATTTGACACAAAATTTTAAGGGACATACTGACAGGCTTGACTTTCTTGTTCTCCACAAAAAGGATGCCTTTTGGTAAGTCTTAGGTCATCAGTTATGCTGAGTATTGATGCAGGAAATTAAACTTGTGATTGTAGTTATATTGTTAATGCAATATATTTTGCAGCAGCTGCTTTTGTCACCAGCAATCCCAAAGAAGCTACATTCAATAAACCATGGATTTGTGAACCCAGCTGTCTCTTCTGAATGTGATCAGACTTGCAAAATATTTGTGCATCTGATGTAGGGCCTAGGGTGACACTTTTGTAACAGTCTCCGAATTGGTTAGTGTGTCAAATATTGTCCTTCTGCAAAATTAGGTTTTTTTGGAAGTTCTGCAATTCCTTTATTCTGTCTAGGTGCTTCTGTTTCTACTTCTGTCTTTGAGGTTTGCTGTCTTACCTGTACACACTCAAACAGACAAACACTGGCATGTTAAAGGGAACAGATAGGATTTCTAATACATCTCCGAGAAGAGGAAAAAGTAAAGAGTTAAATTCTTTGTTATGTAAAGGTAACGTGGAGAAGAAAAGGAACATGAAAATGTTTTATTGCTACCCTTAAAATTACTCTTTTTCTGAGAAATCAGATTTCAGGGTGATTTGATGAACAAATTGCCTTATATTAGGCAACCGCACTATAACTACATACTGTGATTCAAGGCAAATGGATTTAACTAATCTGGCTGTGCTCAGATTTAGACATGTCTTCTGACCTCTGTGTCGTCTTGTACAGTTTTCATTGTGCTTCCTTATTTTTCCCTTAACACAACTTGTTTTAACATGGCTCAAAACTTCTTTTGTGTACGATCTCTAACTTCCTGTTCTGATGAGGCATTTGTGCCCAGAGCCAAACATGTGCTGAGGCTGCTGCTGCCTTATGTAGTCACAAGGTGTAGAAACTGCTCAGTGTTTGGCAGGCACAAAAAAGCGTGCCAGAGCAATTTGCTTCCGGGCATGAAAGAATTCTCTAAGACTATTTTGTTCTTGCATGAGACTTGTGAAATACTGAAGTTGTGTCACGTTCTGAAGTGATTATAATTTGCCCTTGACGTGACATATTTTTGATTTCTGGGACAGCATTGCTCCATGCAAAAGATAGCTTAACAATTGTGTTTCAGTGGCTCTGAACGTGCCATTTTCTCTCTCTCTTCCTTCTTGCTGAAATCTGCAAGTTTGTTGCAGATTTCAAACCTGTCAACACCCAAATGTGTGACGCCAGATCTCAAACATGTGAAAAAAATAAGCTGAGGGACATAATAATATATAGCAGGGGACGAAGATAGAAGTTCTGCAGAATATAGTTTGTGCAGTACAGAAAACTTTCCTGTAAACTCCATTTTGAAGTTATATAACTGTTATCAGCCCGCATAGGACAGGAGTTTGGACTTCATGGCTGTCCCTTGCACTTGAAGGTTAGAGGAAACTGACAATGTTTCCACAGCAGAGTGCTTTACGAGCTGTTTAAATCACAAACGTGCAAGCATTAAAAACAAGAGTCGCTCCCAAGCCCAGGGGAAGGAAGTCGATGCAGTGACAATTGCCGTGCTGCCGGGAGCAGCGTCAGGCGCAGCGCAGCGCAGCGCTCCCGCCCGCGCGGTCCCTCCGCCCGGCCATGGCTCCGGCCCTGCCGCTCCGCGCCCTCGCCCTGCTGCTCCCAGCCGCCCTGGCCCTGCACCATGTGCCGATGCTGCTTTGGTCGACTCAGAGGTAAGAAATCGAATCAGAGTGGATCCCTGCTTATTTATGCTCCTGCTCTGGGCGCGCCTGCACAGAATATATTGTGCCATCGAATATGGTAAATCAGCCCTGGGCAATAAAATTATTTGCGCCATGGCCATCAAACAAGCCAACATATTCTTTTACCCATTTTTATTTATAACTTCAGTGTTCTAAGCTCAGCAGAAAGAAGTAAATAAACTCTGTAAACTAAACTGAAGTAGAAGTGCTTTATTAACCCTAAATTTGAATTCCACTGTTAGAGATGTTGTGAGTTAAAGCCACAACATAAGGCGGTGACACAAAAAGGAGCTGACCAAAAAAGGCAGGTTTTTTTAAGCCTTGGATTTCCTAACTTCTGAACCCTGACTTTTCACTTTAATGTTATTTTAAATACAGGTTCTTAAGTAGATTGCTGTATGTATGTGCATCAGTTGTTAGCAACAACTGCAGTCCTGACAGATCCAGAGAAATTCAGGGGTTTGCATATACTTATGAAATAGGACTTTGAAGCTTTGAAAGTATCAGGTACAGACCTCTTTCTTTCCAACCAGGAATTTTATTCATTATCACTTTAAGGATGTTGTACCATTACTTGGGATTTCCAGAAATATGGCAGGTTGGGCAATGCAGTAGTTTCAGGGGGATATTCAATATGTAAAGTTGTCAGAAAAATAGGCCACTTATTAACCAGCTTTGCTATATGTTTACTCATCTTTTATGGATTTTCAAAACCTGAAACTCTGCATATGGAAATCTCCATGTTTTGAAAAAGTTTGATTTTATAGCTTTTCCTTTATTTTCTCTCCCTAAAAGAAAAAAAAAAAAGTTTCAACATCAAGGCAATTTTATATTCAAAATACTTAGTGATTCACCACTATGTGAGACAGGCACTCATATGAGTGTATTAGCCTTGTGTAATACCGCTGCAAAGCATTTAAAGCATTTAAAAGCAAAGTAAATGTTGGAAAGCACTGTTCTTATGTTAAAATTGATTCTAAGCATCTAAGAAAAGACCAGTGCTGCCTTTGTCCTACTTCCTGGTTTATATAAAAAACATACTTGCTTTATATATAAACAAGATCTTATCACTTAATTCCATGTGGTCATAAAAGCAAACTTTCCATCAAGATGCAATTAGCAGCTTTTTCTACTGCAGATTTTTCTGGTTTATACAAATCCAGAGCAAGAAAATCAGGATACTAGACTGAGTAAACAGTTTCATGTCTCCAAGAATAGAACCTTTTCTGGAAGAAGTGTTCCTCCAACCATGACATTTGCATTTTGAAAGGAGAAGTTCTTGTGGGGCCAAAATTAGTTCTGGGGAAGGTCTGTGAAGCAAGTGAAAAGTTTTTCGTTATTTTATAAAACAAAGTAGCACTTACAACAACTTCCTCTTGCTAACCCCTAACTCTGTGCTTTACATTTGGTACTTCACAGTGATGCAAGGTTTGCAGCGTGTCATCCACAGGCCTAATTTGGAAATTATTATTAATAGTCTTAGGAAAGTTAACTACAGAATTGCAGTAATTATGGATATCTATGGATATCTGTTCACTCTGTAGGAACATGTCCCACCAGTATAAACGTTTAGTGATTCATTAATCAACAGAAGTTGTGATTCACTGATCTATCCCTTCACCCTTTCCCAGGTTATCTGTTAGGATTTGAAATTGAATAATTGAAGGATACTACATTTTGTTCTAATTTAGAACTAGCCAGTGTTTGCCAAGCCATATCTCAGGACAGGTGTATTAGAGAATGTAACACTTTAAAGTCTTTTATGCATTTTTACTATGCTATATTCATGCTATTAAAGATAATGTTAAATGCCAGATAGAGTGAAACCTACAGCTGACAAACACATGCAGTGCACAATGGGAAGTGTGATATCAGTTGTCACAGAGACATTAGGAAATCAAATACCTCTTTCCTCTAGAAAGTAAAATGCAGATCCCTACTTGGAGAAAAGTGTTTTTTTAAAAAAACAGCATTCTTTCTCAATTCAACTAGGGAATAACTCAGTATGTCACACTGTCCAGTTTTTCACAAAAGAATATATCACTGGATGTTCTTCAAATAACTTTGGTGTGGAAAATTTGACCTTTATTTTACATCAGTCTTTAAACTAATTTTCCTTGGTTGGGTTTTTGAAGCAGGGAAAGCTGAGAGGCTCTTCTTGCATATGATACACAGAACAAATTTGATTTAGCCATTTTGAACTAATATTCTGAAGAATTTATTTCTCTCCACACATAAAGAGATGTTTGAGCAAATAAATTAATTAAAATTAGCTTTTGTGATTTCCCCCTCATGTGTTTGTTTTAGGAATGATTTTTGCCTACAGTCTTTTAAAATATATTACTTCCTTTTTTTATGCTATGCTTATATAGGGAAAATAATCCTTTTCTGGCAAACCCAGGTTATAAGTGACTTTGAGAAGGTGTTAATGCCAATTAGTACATTTGCACTGTTTCCTAAACTACAGGGACTTTACTGATAAATCTACTGAAAAAAAGGTGTAACATAGAAAGGAAATTAATTTTTTTAGCTATAATTTTATTGGATGCCTATGAAGACACTGTGTGCCAGCATGAATGCTATTTTACTTCTCCTGAGTATGGGAAAACATGATTTCTTAGATGGAAATCACAAGGTCACTATTAGGGAAGACTTAATAAGAATAGACAAGAATAAGAACTGACAAGAATAACTTGTAGGAAAGAGGTCTGAAGCCAGCTACAAAGCAAATATATAAGATCATGAGTTAGACTGCTAGAAGTCTTGTCTTCCCATCAGCCCTCCTGGTGGCTCCAGATACAGGAAATATTGAATTCTTTGTTTCCGTCAACCTAATTACTCAAATTCCAGGAAGAATACTGTTCAGGAAAGGGCATAATGTTGTCGTATCAGAGCAGTGAGGCATAAGGAAGAAAAGTATCAAGCTAAGCTAGCTTTCCTCTTTCTTTAGGGCATTTTTGGACTGTTGGAAGAGAGATAGTTGAGTTTTAATTTTCCTCAAACTTAAAGCTTCCTTAGGATCTGTTTAACCTGTGTCCTTCTGCACACATGCATGAGCAGAGATGCTGCGGCAGGAGTCGGACGCTCGGCGTGCGGGTGAGCGCAGGCGGATGTGCCCCCAGACATGGCTGTGCCCCCGGACACGGACACGGCTGTGCCCCTGGACACAGCTGTGCACCCCTGGACACGGCTGTGCCCCTGGACACGGCTGTGCGCCCCTGGACACAGCTGTGTGCCCCTGGACACGGCTGTGTGCCCCCAGACACGGCTGTGCGCCCCTGGACACGGCTGTGCGCCCCTGGACACGGCTGTGTGCCCCCGGACACGGCTGTGCGCCCCTGGACACGGCTGTGCCCTCGGACACGGCTGTGCGCCCCTGGACACGGCTGTGTGCCCCTGGACACGGCTGTGCACTCGGACACGGCTGTGTGGGGCCGCCCATAGCAGCGGTCAGTGCTGGCCGCTGCCGGCTCCGCACCGCGCTGCTGTCCCTGAGGAGAGGAGCTCCGTGCGATGAGCCGCTTGGCTGCACCCAGGAAAGCACATCCTCGGTGCATCCATGAGCCCCTGGCACCCACAGATCTCTGTTGCACCTGCACTCCACTAAAGCACCCGGTAAAACATGCTGACCAGGCAAGGAGGCTGGTGGGGCTGGAGCTCGAGTCTGGTGAGGAGTGGCTGAGGGACCTGGGGGGATTCAGCCTGGAGAAAAGGGGCGGAGGAGAGACCTTATTGCTCTCTACAACTCCCCAAAAGGAGGATGCAGCCAGGTGGGGGCGGGGGGGGTTCTCCAACTAGCAGGTGATTCGATAAGAGGAAACAGCCTCAAGTTGCACCAGGGGAAGTTTGGGTTGGATATTAGGAAAAATTCCCTCACTGCAAGTGTGGTCAGGCATTGGAACAAGGAAGTGGAGGAGTCAGCTGGAAATGTTCTAAAAACACGTGGATATTGCACATAGGCACATAGTTTAGTGGCCGACATGGCAGTGCTGGATTGATGGTTGGACTTGATGATTTTAGAGGTCTTTTCCAGCCTAAATGTTGCTGTGGTTTTATTGTCTGAACCACGCTGAGAATGTTCTTTCACCAAGCAGACAGCAACAGCTCCCTCAGTGAAGGGTGTAGCCTTCCCTACTGCCATGCATAGTGCTTAGCAAAAAGGAAGCAAAATAAATGAATGCATAATATTGTGAAGATAAGTATTAGGCAAATGCTAAATTTTAATAGAATTATTAATCAACTGTTGTAATTTTCTTTAATGATGATGAAGTTACTAAAGTTGACTGCTTGAAAGTTAAAAAGTATCACAAAAGGTGTTTCCAAGGTTAGACAGCTAACAAGAACTGTGGTAAGCACTGCTTCAAGGAACAGGGAATTTCTTAGAAGCAAGTATGCTTTAAAAGAGGATCATTAAACTTCTGAGGTTTTGAGTTCACAGCAAAAGCCTTTACCATTTGTGCTGCTGCAAATAATTTGGTTTTGTTTGATGTGCTTTCTGTTACCTTTAGATTCTTAATTGCCTGTCCCCAAAGCTCTCAAAAGCTTCTTTTTTTTTTCTCTGAGATTATGTATGGAATGGAATTATTTAAGTTTTTTAAAAAAGAAATATACCAAGTTATTCAGTGTCATTTTCTTTCACACAAGACTTTTTTTTATCATCTATTAATTTGTTCTATCTGCTTTTTCTTTAATATCATTAGTATTTTGATGTGGCTGTGCATGACACAAAGTCAATACGAAAGTCAATTCCTGAAGAGTCATTCAGAATCTCTGGGACAGAATTTGCCCTAAAGCTTTCCCAAACCCTGTAGTCTGAAGTGAGATGAGGATCATCTAGTGCTGCAGGACTAGAAACTGTGGTTTTATCTCTGCCATGGGTGCAATTTGAAACTTTCAATTCACTTTCAGCAATCTTCATTGGAATTGCAAGGAGGACTTGGAGTGCAATTTAGATTTTCTTTATCTAAAAAACTTTGAACCCCACCTATGTGTTCATTAACCCTGTTCTGCCTCCATCTTAAAGGATTTGCAAAGGTTGTTCTCATTCATAAAAGCTTGCTATGCAATGGTCATTTGCAAATTGCTTTGGGTTAGAAAATTTAACTTGTATCACAACTTGATCAAATTGCAATTAATAATAAATTATGTTAGAGCACACAACAATTGCCTATATTCAACTCTTTGTAATTAGAACCAGTTAGAGTGTCTGGAATACCTTTTTTCTCAGGTTTTAGCAATTAATGTGTACCTGGGCAAAGACGGAAGATTATACATCAAGTTCAATTTGTTTTTCCAAAGACAATTTTCATTAGTCAGAACACCTAGGATAAAAATGTTCATAAAAAGTTTCATCCCTACAGACCCATGTTGCATACTGTTAAAATCCCAACGAGGTGTTGAAAGAATAATGCCACCTCTTGTTTTGCCTGCTTCCTGTAGCAGCAGAACTAAATAGATGGGTTTTTTCTCTGCCCAGTCCTCATAGTGACAGGTTGGAAAAAGAATTGTAAGCTGGGTGCTTTGAGTCATTCCATTCAGAAGAGCTCCTACTGCTGGAAAGGTGGCTTTTCTGAGCAACTTCTGTAGGATGGTTCCTTAATCGTGAAAACCTTAGGAGAGAACCTGTGTACAATGGCACTGTAAGACACTTCTACTAACAAAAGTTTTGTAAAAAAATACTAGTTTAAGACAACTTGTGATCTAGTCTGGGTTCTACTCCTCCTGAGTTCCATCTGTCAGCACTGCAGAGTGCTTTGGGAGCTGGGATGCCATCTGGGAATTCTCTCTGAACGTTTTCAACATATTCTTCTTCATTGCACTTAGTAGGTAACTTTTTTTGGAAAGATGCAATTTGGCTGTTGTACACAAAGAAGAAAATAGAGTGAGGCATTTCCCCTGTTCATTCTTGCTGTAATACAGTCAATTTGATACAGGCATAAATGGGAAGTTCTTTTTCTCTTGAGTAGAATGAAAGTAAATTGAACTTCAAAGTTGATCTTAAATGAAAGATGATGATTTCATTACCTGCTGCTGCATATTTAAAGAAAGGTGTCATCATTGGCAGAAAATTCTACAGAAAAAAGAATTATTCCTTTGTAGATCACAGTGGAATCCAGACATTGTGGTGCACGAAGGACAAGTTGTCTCAGCACAGGAGCTGACAGCACTCTTGCAACCTCTCTTTACCCAGAACTCCAGAAACCTCGTCCTGTTCCTGCAAGATAGGGTATGTAAACCAATTTTTTTTTCTCACCAATACTGAGCACAAGTCTGTACCTAAATAAGATGCCATGGCTCCTTCTCACCAACCTACTCTCTTTGTTTTTCAGCTTAGCATAGATGATTTCACATACTTCAGTGAATCCTATGGCAACAGGAATCCATTTCAAAATGTTCAGGCAAGCATTTTTCTCATTTATTTCTTTATATGCAGTATTTTAAAAGAAAAAGAAAGACATAAGAAAGATGCATAGAGACAATAAATGGGGAAAGGGCACTGAGTTGCAGAAGTTTTCCTGTTTAAATTAGTGAGATTATTCCAGTTTAAGCAGATGTGTTAAAGGAAATAAACTGAGTTTGTAGATGCATGCTTTGTAGCTATTATATTTTTAAAGACTGAATTTTCACAATTCATCATAACTGACAAAATTCTTCTTAAATATGCTGCAATTTTCTATTGTAAGAAACAATATAAACTTCCAGACCAACACCCCAAAATTCTGTTTTGAAACCATAGGAAGAAAATAACTCATAGAAACCAATAATTTTTCCTTATTTTCATAATTTAATACCTATTTTATTTTTACAGAAATTGAAACTCATTCTGGGAGTTAACTGTTTTATATTTGTATTAAGTTAATATATCACTAGATGCTATATTGCCTTAATCTTTATGAAAAAAATAATGCTATTTGATTAACTTGAAATAAACTGTAGGCACAGAATTTAAGATGGACTCCTCCTGAGTCAGTCAACAGCTTCAAGTTTTGTCCTCACTGAGAAGGTTTATAGATTTTGTGCAGAGCATCTATGCTTGTACTTACATGACAGTTTATTGAAATGTAATTAGACAAAATGTTCACTTGTGGAAGTCATAAAGACATTCCTGGAGGCAGTGCAGGATGAACAGAGCTATTAGTAATGTAAATGATATCAGAGCACACAAGGAAATGTAAATTTCCAAGCACCGCACAGCAAGCACTATATGTAATTAAACACATAAATATTCACATAATACCTGTCTCTACATCTAAGAACCTCACATCTTCCTTGTATAAGTAGAACTGGAGCTATTAATCTCTTTGTCATATAACAGCATTTTAATGCTGAAGCTGGAAGAGAAACAATTATTCAGAGTATCTACATGGGTTTTCTGAGGAATGAATGAGAGTTGTAATCATCTGTACTGTAAGGATCAGTGGCTGTGTCTGCAGGCAGATGCACTGGCTCTTCTTTGCTATGTCTTACCTTCTCAGGGTTACATCTCTGCAAGGCTGTGTCCAGAACAAATTTTTGTTGCTGCCTGACTACAAAACTGGTTTAATTTCAGCTGTTTGACATTGCAATGTATTACATTGCAACTTCCTTATGTGGTAGTCTTATTTAAGTATGACCTCGATGTCTAAGAGGCATATCAAAGTACTTAAAACATTCTTCTTTGCCTTGTAATCAGGACTCCTTAGGCACTGTAGATAGAGATTAAAGGTTTTAAAGTCTAGAGATAAGGCCAGAGACAGATGGGTTTAGAAATCAGGTGGTATACAAGGGGACTGACGACCCAGTGAGGGCTGAGGAGGAGGTCATCAGCTAAACAAAGTGTCATGTTTAAGTAAATCTTTGTCTGTATCTGGCAGGTCAAACACTTATACCCAAGTATTTAACAATCTGAATAAATGTCAGCAACTGGTTTCTTTCTGACCTTGCCTTTGTTCCCTCTCTGTCTTGGAGCTGAGATTTTTTTCCGTATTATGGCTTCTTTAAAACCGGAAAGTTTATTTTTACAAATTGCTCACCTTAACTCCAGCACTTCCTACAGTTGTTCTGTTGGATTTGGCAATCTTAATGCTTTTTTAATGTAGTTTGATGGAGGTGGGGTTAATGAGCTTATACCTCTCATTACTTTCACATATGTGAAAGAAAATGAGAGGTATAAACTACAAACTTCCTTTTCACCTAGGTGCCCATAGAGGGAGTTTTGTCAATATGTATTGCATAGGGCCAGAAGTTTTCAGAGCCAGAAAATGAACGTTCTAGTCACCCATATTGGGCATAACAGTCTACAAAAATTTGCTGGGTTGCTATTGTATACTTGAACTCCACTTGAGATACTTTGGGTAGGAAATAAATTCTTAATCATGCTATGAAAGATTGGAATAATACTCACACAACACAGGAAAAAGTGAAGGCTGGGTCTGAATTTTCTCACTTGGGAAATTAGAATACTTGATGTTGCATAATCAGAAGTTTTTTTACCTACACATTCTATACTATACAAATGATCAGTGAAGCTATAAAAAATGTTCCATTGCTCTCAGGAATCCTCCTTTATGAACCTCAGAAATGCAAACTTATTCATAAACCTAAGCTGGAGATTTCATTTAGAATGTATAAGAGCATGTAACAGCATGTGTTCTACAAGAAGAAAGTGTTATTTGAAAAAGAGTTATAAAGTTGTAAACCCCAGAAACATTTGCAGATAATTGATTTGTTCAGCTGCATTAGCAACTGTTCTGAGATTTTGGTATCAATGGGTTTGCATGCAGTAAAGAAATCTTACTCCAGTTAATACAAAGGGAATCTTATAGATAGATCATTTATCTTGAACTTTCAAACAACTTCTAAATTAAATAATAAAATACAGAAATTAGCATTTAGGGAAATTCTTTCTCAAGAAGTCTCCTACCCTACAGACTATTTTTCTTTAATATTAGCTTTGGTTTTCCCTAGACAATGCTCAGCTCCTTAGAACTGCATTGTATATTAACACACTCCAACTAGTGGCCAGCTGTGAATCTACATAATTATGACTGTAAGTTATTGCCACTTGTAGTCTGATAACTCCATCCTGTCCTCACTCAGTGGTCATAGACTGAGCATTACTATTTAGTCACATTTTGACTGTCTTTATTTCCTTCCTTTTAGTTTTATTATATTATTTTTTGACAAGGGAACACGAACAGGACTTCATAATAATCCAGATAAAAGTTCATCATAGATTTATTCAGTGACACAATGATGTTTTGTTCTCTAGCCTTTTCTAAAATACTATTAATATTTGATTTTTTTCAATCTTGATCACTATCAGCCTCTGAATTACCATTTTCAAAGAGCTGCTGTAACTCTCAAGGTTTCATTACTGAAGAGTAACACTCTGTTCTGAGTGTAATACCTATTATTGCGTATGTAAAATTAGGCTTGTTTTTCTGTCACCCTGTCCTGTGCTAAAATCAATTTACATTGAATCTTATCAGTTACTCAGTTGACCAATAGGCTGTGCCAGGAGCTGCTTCTGTAGTTCATCAGACACTGCCTTTACTAACCTGAAAATATCAGCATAATGGGCAAGTTTAATTAGCTCAATATTTATCTTTTTATCAGATAGTTTAAGAACATACAGAACAGAACAGACTCTAGTGCAGAAAGAGATACTTTTTAATCCCTTTGCTTGCTAAATCTTTATCTATTCTTTAGCTACCTTCATGTGAAGACTGTTTCTCTCTCCAAAGCAGCTTAGTTTCTTTAGTAGTCCTTGCTTCAAGACTCTGCCAAATGCCTTGTGTGGGTCTAAGTAGACTGTTCCACCTAGAGCTTCCTAGAGTACATTCCTATAGACTCCTTTGGAGTTCTTCAGCAGAACTGTTAGGCAAAACTTTTTTGTGAAGGCCACATCAGTCTTTTCCACAGTGCAGTCCTTTGTTGTTGTTATAGTCTGTGTTTTATTCTTTGGAATGCTTCCTCCCATTCTTGGAATTCAGGTTTTCTTTTTGACAGTCCCTTGGATGTGTCTGTAATGCTCAGAAAAAAAAAAAAAAACTGTGTCATTTTCCCCCACTATACTGTACAGCATGAAGGTTTTTTCAACAATACTTCCTTTAGCTGCAACACACTTTATCACGTAAAGTACATCAGATCAATTTTCTCTAAAATTATAACTTACAGGTTTATGCATACATTTGAAGGGCATAGCTACAGTGTAAGTGTTTGTGGAATAGATAATAATTGGAAAGTTAAAATTAAACCTTCCCCTTCTTTTCCATTTCCTCTCTTTCCTTGTTCCTCTCCTGTTCCTAGCTACTGTGTGACTTTCTTTAGCAGAATGCACTTAGGTGCCTTCCTCAATATCCTCTTCATTATCAATGCCTTTTTGGAGTTTTCATGTTTTGAACAAGCACGGTAGCTGAAATCCTAAAATGTGTAAAGCAACATATGGGTATCGTAAAGAAAAGTGCACAATTGCCAAATGGCAGGAAGGACAGAGGCATGGGATCTGATTGCCTGCCTGAGGCTGTTGAGTTGATATCCAGCTGTGTCTACCCTTCAGATGAAAAGCAGCTGAATACCAGTGTCTGGAAGCTGAGACAGATGGCAGTGCAGCACTGGTTAGGAGCAGAGGCACAATCAAGATATTACTCAGTAATGATACATTTTATATCTTATTCTACATTAATGAGTAATCTGCTTAATATATACCCTTGGGTGAAATGGCTGTTGCCATTCTGGATGCTACTATGGGACAAGGGATTAAAATATTGAAAATAAAACAGAAGTCATTGAATTGCTCAGAATTTGAGGTCTAAATTCAAATCTGTAAACAAATTAAAATGAAAGTTTCATCTTTTACTCCAGGAGGTGCTAAACACATTACTCAAAGACCTGTACACAAGATCTTTCTGCTCTATTTTAATTTCTGCAGTTACTTTTCTCTTAGTCTGATAAATCAGACAATGCCACATAATCCTACCTTTTGAGCATCTATAGAAATATGAAAGTATCTATAGCCTTTGCCTAGGAAGGAAGATGTGAGCAATTAGAAAGAATTAGAGAAAAGGTCAGAAGAGCAGTCAAAGAACAGACAAAAAGGAAAAAATAGTGGGTGAAAAGTGTTAGGAATACCCCACAACACTTGCATCAGAGGGAGATAGAGAGTCTGTAACAGCTTGAAGATCTCAGTGTTGGAACAAGTGACAGACTTAATCTGGACTTAAATGTAGAAAATACAAAAGAAAAGTTAACAAGCTGTAAACTGGGACTCAGCAAAAAAATACCTTCTAGTATTCATATTTGTATTGAGTTTCTGTGACAATACTTTGGTAGTGGGTGGGCTATAGGGGTGGCTTTTTTGAGAAGCTGACAGAAGCTTCCCCCATGTCCAAAAGTGTCAGTGCTCCAGGACAGACCTGCCACTGGCCAGGACCGAGCCCATCAGAGACAGTGGTAGCATATTTTAAAAGGTGAAGAAGTTACTGCACAGAAGCAGTTGTGTTTCGAGAAGAGAGGAGTGAGAACTTATGAGAAAGCAGCACCAAGGGCAGCACAGGAGGAGTGGGAGGAGGTGCTCCAGGCAGCGGGGCAGGCAGAGATTCATTTGCCTGCAGCCCGTGGTGCAGCCCATGGTGGGACAGCTCTGCCTCTGCAGCCCTTGGAGGTGCACGGGGGAGCAGAGATCTGTCTGCAACCCGGGGAGCACCCAGTGCCAGGAGAGGTGGGTGCCTGAAGGAAGCTGTGACCCTGTGGGAAGGCTCCTGGCAGGAGCTGTGGAGAGAGAAGCCCAGGCTGGAGCAGTCTGCTCCTGAAGGGCTGCACTGCATGGGCGGGACTCACACTGGAGCAGTTAATGAAGAACTGCAGCCTGTGGGAAGGACTCCCCTTGGAGAAGTCCATGGAGGACTGAGTCCCATGGGAGGGACCCCATGCAGGAGTATGAGGAGTCCTCCCACTAAGTAGGAAGAGGGTAGAGACAATGTGTGATGAACTGACCACAGACCCCATTGTCTGTCCCCTTCTCCACTGCAGGGCAGGAGGTAGAAAATCATGGGTAATGTTGTGCCTGGAAGAAGAGAGGGGTGGGTAGAAGGTGCTTTTTGTTTTATTTCTATTATCATACTTTGATTTGATTGTTAATAATTTAAATTAATTTTCCCAAGTCAAGATTGTTTTTCTTGTGTAATTGGTTAGTGAACTCTCCATGGCCTATAAGCCTTTTATTTTCTCTCTTTTGTATAGTTGAAGAGGGAAATGATAGAGCAACTTTGGTTGGTACCTGGCATCAGGCCAGGGTCAATCCACCACAACATTAAATATAGGCTATATTAATTTTGATAATTTTCAAATCTCCATCTTGCATTTTGTTTCCCCAGGTATTTCAGGGTAATTTTATTACCAAGAAAAAAGCTTGGAAAGATGTTTTTTGACTATGCATGTTCCAAATTTAAAGTATGAGAATGTTTTTCAATTAATTTAATTCAAGTATCTGTATCAGGAACTCGGTTATCAGATTTGTAAATAAAGTAAATGATATCCTGATGCTTCATCTGAACCAATTCAGCCTGAGTTTTATGATTTGTACTTTGAGTAAAAAGGTGGAAAGTATGACACAAATTTTGTTTGTGTGCGTCTGGAGGCTCTGCAGATCCTGAAATCTGCAGCTTTTAAAATTAATAATTACAAATCAGACTTTATTCTGTACCATGTGCTGTAGCACCAGGATGTACACAAATGCAGGGTGTTTTCTATACAAAGTATGACTTAACTTAATGGAGCTGCTGGAACTGGGCTGACACTGAGCTCTCTCACATCCAAGAGCATTTATTTAGAGTCATCTAAGCTTTGCTTTTGATAGTGTTCATAACAACTACACTCTTAGCTTGAGAACTTCTACATCATCTAGCTCTCCTCTTCCACTGTACATGTGGAAAAGACAGTAAAATTTTGGTGTTGCTGAGTCCTTTAAGCTTGCTGCAAGAAAGTTCAGGAGCAGCCTGCAAGCCACCATCAAGCAAGCTGGTAAGAATTCACATGCTCTTTACTGTGGAGGTCCCTCACCTTGAATGTTAAATTAAGGATACATTCTAAGAAAGGTTGTGTTAATTATTAAGCAACTGAATATTAAGCAAGTAAATAAACGTCTCATAAATTTTTTTACAGGAAATTCTTCAGTCTTCTCCGTCATCTTTAGTTTTGCCAGCTGTTGACTGCAAGGCTACCAGGTATCTCCTGAATGTTCTTCAAGAATCAGGAGATTGGAAGTTAACAAATGTAACTAATCTCAATGTCTCTCAGCTGGAAGTGAATGCATCTAGCCCAAACTTACTGGTGGTTCAGCTACAGCCACTTGCCAGGTAGGGGTTTATCATGAACAGAACTGACCCACAAGTGTGCATGACTTTTAGAGCTTTCGAAAATGTCTGTTGTATTCAGGAGATTCAAAAAAACAGAGTGGAAGCTTGTAGGGCTATCAAAATTGTTTCTCTTACAAGGATAAATTCAGTGTTTCTCAAAATCCCCAGATGAGCTTACCAGGTGTAATAGATGAATTATGTTGAGAAAGGCAGTCAGGCATTCCTATTTTGTCTGCCTCATTATATCAGAACAAAGGGACAGCTAATAAAACTAAATGGCAACACACTTTTTAGCAGAAAGGCTCAATTATTTTACTCGACACATGCTCAACCTGCAGAATTAATTGCTAGAAGGCATTCCAGGGGTCAAAAATACTGGCAGGATAAATAAGCAAGCAAATAAACACAGACAAACCTGAAGCTAATAAACAGCTTGATTTTCCATCACCATGGAAGGAAGAGGAGGGCTATAATTCTTCATGTTTCCAGCTCTATGTGGGCTGTGATCTAACAGAGAAGGGGAGAGACTGTTCTTTCAGGTGAATGTATATTTAGAAGATATAAGGCATAGTTGCTGAGCTTCTTCTGTTTACTCTTCTTCCCAGCTTGTTACTTGGGCATTTGTACATGTTGGTGTAAAGTGTAGATATCAGCATGTCCTAAACAAATGCAATTCTAGCTGTCAAGTCACTACACAACAAGAGACATGATAACAATTTTAAAGAGCTCCTGTGCAAATGTTAAACAAGGAGCCAACACCAAATGAAAAAAAAGCTTCTCAGAGGCAGACCAAAATACTATCAGTAGTATGGCTTCTCTGCTGCATAGGAAATTTGAGGGGTTTAATAATCCTTAAATTTTTAATGGCTTTTCAGAAGAAAAGGGTCATTAGGAGGAGATGAAAGAATAACAGAGGGACAGACAGTAATCCTTTTATCAGTCAGTATCTTCATACATTTCTGATTCACATAATTTTTGCCTAGGAAAGATTTTTAACTATTTTTCTCCCTCTTTTCCTCTAGTGATATAAAAGACATTTCCACCTTGGAAGCAATTGCTGAAAATGGTAAGTAATACTACCTAGACATAACTAACATTTCATCATTTGTGGCTTCACCTGAGCAGCTAGCATTCTCTAGTTCCCAGGCTTTGCTTTTCTACTATCATTTAAAGATTTTGTCCCATTCCCCTTCTACAGTATTTATAAGCTCTGGTTGTCTTAGTTTTAGTCAGACACTAAGTGTCTGTGACATGAAATGTAAGCTTGATAAATTCAGGTCTGCTTTAGGCATGGACCTTTGCTCATTCCCTGAGCCCAAACCTTGCATGTCTGTGCAACTTGAGCTGCCTCCTTTGATTTCACCTTGCACACTGGCAGCTGGAGGTGCCAGGCTCATTTGGCAATCAATTCCAAGGCCTTGGTCTCAGCAAAGGGTGTCTGTATGAATAGGAAATGTTTTTCTAATCTTTATAAAACTGTACCGATGGCCTTCTTTGCCTTTGATATCAATCTTTTATTGATTTTGCAGTGTATTAAACACTACTTGTAAAAGTTGAATCTCTCAATATAATACTATAAAAATGTTTCTTACCTAGCATCTGGTTGAAAAAGAGGTGCCATAAATGAAAATGGCACTGAGAGGCATTTCATTGCAGAGATCTCACTTACTACTCTAAATTAGAAATCAAGTTATAAAGCCTGCAGATCACTGAAGTGGTAGTTTTGGAGGCTTACAGTGTAGTGGGCTGATAATTAAACAGTGTTCTTAGTGGGGCTGTAAAATCAGCAGCAAATTTGAAAATCAGGGGAAAATACCTTAGTACTGAAATTAGTTGTGTATCCTTTTCTGTTTGTTTTTCTACTAGTCCAAAATGAGTGGGTTTTATACTAAAACAAGCAGTTGGGTTTTCATCTCTGAATTGCAGAGGAGTTATTTTGTTTGATTTTCTTGTCCCCAGATAGGGAGTTATTGAGCCATGGCTTAATATTAGTCTTGGCTAAATAGCGGCCCACTTTTTTATGGGACATTTCTTTCATCAGCTGCATGGATTCAAGAATAAGCTTCCCAAGCCCTAGAATCACAGTATCATAGAATATGCTGAGTTGGAAGGGACCGACTGGGATCACTGAGTCCATCGTAGCCCTGCACAGGACACCCCAGGAATCACATCACATGCCTGACAGTGTTCTCCAAATTCTTCTTGAGCTCTGTCAGGTTGGGTCCTCTGCCACTTCCCTGGGGTGTTCTATTGCAGAGCTCTGGGTAGAAAACCTTTTCCTGATATCCAACCTAAACCTCCACTGACGCAGTTTCATGCCATTTCCTTGAGTCCTGTCACTGGTCATGAGTGGTGAGATCTGCAGTGTCTTCTCCTCATGAGGAAGTTGTAACTGCAGGGAGGTCTCCCCTCAGTCTCCTCTTCTCCAGGCTGAACAGACCAAGTGACCTCCGCTGCTCCTCATAAGGCTCCTTTCCCCTTTCAGACCCTTCACCATCCTCGTTGCCCTCCTTTGGACACTCTAATAGCTTTATATATTTCTTGCATTGTCGCACCCAAACCAGCCCCCAGCACTGGAGGTGAGGCTGCCCCAGCTCAGAGCAGAGCAGGACAATCCCCTCCCTTGCCTGGCTGTGATGCTGTGCCTGATGCACCCCAGGACAGGGCTGGCCCTCCTGCCTGCCAGGCCACACTGTACACTCAAGCAACTGCTGTCCCAGGCCACTTTGTTTTGGGAAAGCAAAGTGGTGATCTGTGGGAGGCTGGCAGAAAAGGCTATGCCAACTTTTTGGTTAGTATCAACTAGATTTTAATCGGGAAGAAGGTGTGTGGATTGCTTAGCCAAGTACAGAATCTGCACTGTTGTTCCCAAGTAGGTGCCTAATTTGGGTGCTCTAAAACATGGTGGACAGACTGAGCTCTTTTCTTTGGAAAATTTGAAAAGGCTTCATAAGAAAGGTAGAGTTTTGATCACAGCCAAACAAGAGATCTGTGTCAACTCCATTGTTATAAGGATGTTCACAGAAGCTTCTTTGGATTAAGGAGTTACCTCTAGAATCTTCCTGAAGGCAGGAGGTATAGATGTTACTGGTAACTATAGTTACATGTGTCTCCTTTCTGAAGGGAAATGGAAATAACGTGTTATTTCAGAAAGCTATTGGTTGCTTTATTGAAAGAAAACCCAAAGTCAATCTCTACTTTTTTTTTTTTTTTTTTTTTTTTTTTTTTTTTTTTTTTTTTTTTTTTTTTTTTGTTCTGCAAATTTATGCTAAGGCTGAAGAGAATTTCCAAAATCTATAAATCCAGATTACAAAATCAAAGTTACATAATGCTTTGGATCTCCACAACCAGTGTAATTATGGCAGTAGTTTTTAGGCAGTTGTTTTTCTAAGTACATTTCTCATAGTAGATTCTCTTAGCAATAATTTTGAGAAGGAAAATTCACATAGCTATGATTCTTGACTGATATAAGGAAATCAGTTCAGCTGAAACCCTGTAGAAAAAAGCAATTATTGAATTCTTACAAAAGCCAAATATTTCACTCAGCCAGGATACCATAATTGCAGTAAATAAAAGTGGTTAAAGAGGATAATAATATAAACTCTTAATTTCAGCAGCTGCAAATAAAACACAATTTCTGTAAAGTATAACCTCAAAATCTGAGAAGTTTGTATGTCCAGGTTACCAAATCTCCATCCACCAGACTGGTACATGAATGAGAAGTGGGAAGTCACTGAAACAGTAAATGTGAGTCTGCTTGCTTGCTTCTCAAGCAGTCCCAATAACAACACTAATAATGGCTCATGATTCACAACTGTTGTGCTCCTCGTAAGCAGATGTTCATGTTTCTGCACAAATATTGAAAACATTTATCAGTTGTAAGCATTTATTGTAACTGCCTGTGGTTTCAGAACTAGAAGAGGATCTTTTGTAGAGGCATATTTGGACCTCTTTGAAAGGCCTTCTCTTACTTATTTGACTTCTCCTTCCCTTTTCAGAAATACTCCACCATATTTCTCCTTTGGCCTCCAATGTAATGAACAGGAAAATTTTCTGTGTCCTGTTGGGGGTGCAGAAGCAGGCTTTAAATCCACAGAAGGCAAAAGAAATATTGCTACCAGTATTACACATATCATGCCCCACACTAAACACCATGTTTTGAATGTTCTCAGTAGTAGTTACATGTATTTTGTAATTCATAGAGTGACACTGCTTAAATTTTATTATTTATTTATTAACTGATAATTTGGCTAACAGTATATGCATTCTGCATATACTCTTAAAGAAAGAAAAGAAATCTCTGAAGTGATTTCTCCTGGTTTTACTTGCCCAAAGTTCAAACTTTTGGGTATATTTTCCATGGTTTTACTTTTCAATTTCAAAATCACCCCTTTTCCTGAACTGTTGTATTTTTTTAATTATCTCACTGAAATTGTGCATTTTTCAAGACACTGAGAGTGTCTTATCCCAGTTGTACCTAGATAGAATGAGCACTTAAGTTGCTCAAATAAACTGAATAAGCTTAAACATCTAGCTCATTACTTCTCCAGCTGCTGTAGGATTTTAGCTTTCTCAGCTTACCAAGTTTGTTGAGTTATCCATTTCTATTTACAGACAAAATAATTGGAAGAGTGACCATGGATCTGCAGGAACGAGGGATTCATTTTTCAGTCATTTATACTGCAGTAAGACCTTCAAGGGTGAGTAATCTTCAGTGCCTAGAGCTGTCAGATTTTTATCATCCAATAGCTTCATGTTTACAGAAGAAGTCTGTAGATGATTTTCAAGATTATACAGACAAGCAATCTATATTATAGGAGGTTTTGACCAGGAATGATTGCATGAATTTTCATATATGATAGCTATATCACATAACTATTGAAGTTTTACTGTTCTAGGAGACTACAAATTTGCCTTTGTCTGTAGAACTTATTACTATTTTTAAGAACTGTAAGTTAATTTTCTTTTCAGTTTAACTCTAGTGATTTTGTAGTGATTTTTATGTGGAACATTACCAAACTTCCTAGTGTGGCTGGTTAGTATAGACAGAGTGTTACTAATCAACTGAAGGCTACTAAACTATCCACTTCAAAATTATTTGGTTTAATTTTTTTTAAGCAGTACTTGGTATTTACAACTGCAAGGTTAAGTTTTCACTCTTGCTAATAGAATATAATTTGTAGATCACATATCACATTAAGTAACAATGCAGGATAGTTATTTATGCAGAGTTAAATTTTTGTATGACATAAAGGTTGTAATAAAAAAAAAAAATAAATTTTTAATCTTAACGTGAATAAATAAATGGAAGATAGTCTTGCCTTGAAGAAAAAAAAAAGTTTCCATTAAGAAGATAAATATTTAAAGGATGGGCTGAATCCTAAAAAAATGCAACTTTGAGAGAAACATTTTCAGAGGTAACACTATCTGAGCTCCTAATTTGATATGGGACTCATAGAATCATTAAGATTGGAAACGACCTCCAAGAGCATTGAATCCAACCTTTGACTGATCACCATCATGTCAACTAAACCAGAGCACTGAGAGCCACATCCAGTAATTTCTTGAGCGCTTCCAGGGATGGTGACGCCACCAGTTTCCTGGACAGTCTGTTTCAATGCTTGACAACCCTTCCAGGGAAGAAACTCATCCTGATTCCCACCTGAACCTCCCCTGGTACAGCTTAAGGCCATTTCTGCTTGTCCTGTTGCTGGTTGCCTGGAAGAAGAGGCTGACCCCCACCTGGCTACAACCTCCTTTCAGACAACTGGAAAATGATAAAGTCCCCCTAAGCCTGCTCCTGTCCTGGCTGAACACCCCAGCTCCCTCAGCCACTCCTCATGTGGCTCCTTAGACTCCTTAGATACTTCCCCAGCTCCACTGCCCTTCTCTGGACATGCTCCAGCCCCTCAATGTCTGTCTTTTTGTTGTGAGGGGTCCAGAAGTAGACACAGCCCTTGAGGTGTGACCTCACCAGTGCTGAGTACAGGAGAGCAATCCCTGCCTGCTCCTGCTGGCCACACCATTGCTGATACAGGTCAGGAGGGCAGTGGCTTTCTTGGCCACCTGGGCACACACAATGGATCCTGTTCAGCTGCTGTCAGCCAGCACAGCCACGTCCCTTGTACTCACATAGACTCATGAGTGTCCAAGTGGCACAGTGGGTCACTAGCTGCTTCCTCTTGGATTTCAGGGCTTCTTTTATTCTCCCAGACCCTGTCTAATAGCTCAGCATGTTGCCCTGAGGATAACCAGTCTTGCTGTTAAAGGCTGAGGCAAAGAAATACAATTACCTCAGCCTTTTCCTGGTCCTTGGTTACAATGGTCCCCCCTTTCCCACATCCAAGGGTAGAGAATTTACTTAGCTCTCCGTTTGTTGTTAATTTATTTATAAAAGCACTTTTTATTATCTCTCACAGCAGTTGCCAGATTGAACTCTAGCTGAGTTTTCAACTTTCTAATTTTCTCTCTACATGGCCTAACAACACCCTTCTACTCTCTCTAAGTTTCCTGCTCCTTCTTGGAAAGGTCATCAACTTTTTTTTTTTTTCCCTCTGATTTACAGTGACAACTCCCTGTTCAGCCAGGCCGGTCTTCTTCCCACATTGGCTCATCTTCTGGCACATGGGGATGGCCTGCTTCTGTGCTTTTAAGATTTCTTTCTCAAAGCATGTCTAGTTCTCCTGGACTCTTTTGTTATTAAGGACTGTCCAAGGTAGAGGTTTTGTTGACCACCTTGCTCACTTCACCAAGAATTGTGAACTCTATCATTTTGGGGTCACTATGCCCAGGGCAGCCTCTGACCACCACATCTCTCACCAGCCCTTCTCTGGTAATAAACAGCAGGTCTAGCAGAGCACTGTCCCTGGTAGGCTCACTCACCAGATGTGGCAGGAATTTATCTTCCTCATGCTCCAGGAACCTCCTCGACTGCCTCTTCACTGTGTTGAGTTTCCAGCAGAGACATCAGGCAAATTAAAGTCTCCTACAAGAACAAGGCCTAGCGATCATGAAACATCAGCCAATTGCTTATAGAATATTTCACCTGCCTTTCCTTGGTGTAGGCAAAATGAAAGACATTTGTGTGATTGTCTAGATATAGCATGAGAAATGCCAACAGAATCTTGAGAGGCTGGAAGGTTTTCAGGAGATAGCACAATGAAAAATGCACTGCTATTCTTATTACAGGAATAAAACCTAGAAAACCTGTGTTCAGTGGATGTGGAGGGAAGTCCCTTTATCTTATCCAAAGGAGTAAGAGGCCACTTAAATGGACTTCATAAATATTCTTTAAGCCAGTAGTGGATAAGCTCCTCAAAGGGGTTCTATGTTCATTTGAAAGTAGTGTGGGGTTTTGCATGAGGTAGGATCTTGAAAACCTCTGAGTAATGCAGGTGATCACAAGGTGATCACAATACTCCCTTCAGGCTCTGGGGCAAAGGCTAATTCTACAGAAGAAAAACAAGAACTTTCTTCAAAAATTCTCCCAGGGAAACTGACTTCCAGAGACTGGATTTTGGAGACCAAACTTAGAAAAAAACCCAGCAGCATGAGTAGGCAAGATCACATTGATATTCTGTGTACTGTGTATTTTTGTGGCAAAGGAGAGAATATTAGTCCAGAACTTGTGATCTGTCTTTTCTTCTATTTCTTTTTTTAACAAAGATCCAAAATAAAAACAAAATTTACTTTGTTATTGTGGCTCTTTACTGTTTGAAATCAAAGGCACATGGGCATTCTTAGCTGAAAATTGTACTTAGAACAATTGGAATGAAAAATATTTTTAATTAATAGAAAATTGGAATTAAGAGAAGGAATTTTTGGTCAATTTTGAAAATATTTTAAACCTATGCATATTTCAACAGGCTTTCCAAATTAAAGTAACTAAATTCGAGCAGCTGAAACACTTTTAAATAATTAAAGCAATGTATCCTAAGATGTTCTACATTTTTAAAATAAAAGCAATTTAAACTTTACTCAGTTGTATAAATTTAATACTTTATAAAACCATTTGAAGCATTTTTTGGCCCTGCACAATAACTTTAAGTTATTTCAGTGCATTCAAGGTTATCAGCTTCTGCACTGAGTTAGAAAAGCCAAAGCAGAATGCACTTTTGAGGGTTCATCACTCTGTGTATTCAACATCTCCTTGGAGTGTACTGCATATCTTTAGCTGTGCTTGAACTGTAGAAGGTATGAACTGTGGTAACTGTAAATGAGGATACTAACTCCCTTTGCTTAAACTATATTGCACAATGTAGAAGTTACAGGATCACTCCCCAGTGATAGCCAAGGTCAATATATAAAAGAAGTAAAAGGCTTTAATCATGTTGAGAGTGATTTTCAAATGCACTATTGTAAACTGTATAGCTATCATCCACTACAGAAGATTTTGCATTCACTAGTTGCCTTATTATCAGTGATGAAGGAAATTAGCTTTAGGTATTACACTTTAAAAAAAAAAAGATAATCTCCTTCTAGTTAGCTAAATTAATTTTATACAATAAAGCGCCCAAAAAAAGATGGTTTTGTGATGGCTTTCTTCTGAAAGTGTTACCTCCTTGCTCTTGGACATTTTATGGCTTACCATCGCTATGTAATACATGTTTGTTCTTCCATTGCCTCAAGCAGAAAAAAAAATCTATGTAAGAAATTGCATATATTAGAAAAGGTTCCAGACTGGTATTGGCTTCACAGAAAGTGAATTAAAGAGCAAAACTCACCTATGATTGAGCACCTTTTCTGATTTGATGAGCAAGAGTTATTTAGTTTAGTCAGTGCAGACACAGATGTCTTTAGGCTGTCATAATTATCAGTTCATTACCCCAGTGCATGGAGATTTGCTCAGACTGGTTCTTGTTCAGTTCCAGTTTCAGCATGATTGGAGGGCTAGAGCATCTCTTCTATGAGGAAAGGCTAAGGGAATCAGTATTGTTCAGCCTGGGAAAGAGAAAGCTTCAAGGTGAATCAATTGCTGGCCTTCCAATACCTGAAGGGAACCTACAGGAAAGCTGGAGAGAGGCTTTTTGACAAGAGCATGTAGTTTTTCCTAAAAAATGGGAATGGTTTTAAACTGAAAGAGAGTAGGCTTAGATTCAATATTAGGAAGAAATTCTTTACTGTGAGAGTGGTGAGGCCCTGAAAGAGGTCAATGCCCCGTCCCTGAAGTGTTCAAGGACAGGCTGGATGAGACCTTTAGCAGCATCTCTAGTGGAAGGTGTCTCTGCAAAGGGCTTGGAGCTAGGTGACCTTTAATGTGCCTTTTAATTCAAGGCATTCTATGATTTTGTGATTTGAAGTAGGAAGACAGAATTAAGACTCTGAAAGAGACACCACTTGGTGACCTACTTGAAATGGTTTCACCAACCAGTTGATGATTGCTCCCATCACCTCATAAAGAAGCTGCCTTCCTCCAACAAGGCAACTGCTGAGTCTTGTGGCTCATGTTTTGAAAAGCTTTGCCTTGGAGGTCTGGCTGAGTTGGGATGAGTTGGGGTCTCTCTGGCTGAGAGAGTGATTTGTATCATCTAATTCTGGGCAAGTGAGGTCTATACGTCTATATCTGAGGTCATCAACCAGGGTTCTCTTTACCAGCAAGGGTTTTTAGGTTATGATCCTTCTGACTGTTGTGTAGGAGACCACTGCAGGATGAGATGACACTCACCCTTAAACGCAGTCATCATGCTTAGGTTAGATCTTG